TGGGAGAGAGTCACTCACCTCTCTCTGCTAGTCTCCGAGATACATGGGAGAGAGTCCCACCTTCTTTCTCTCTTGCTTTTCTTGAGATACATGGGAGAGAGAGTCCCTCACCTCCTCTTTCTGCTGTCTCCGAGATACATGGGAGAGAGTCCCTCACCTCCTCTCTGCTTGTCTCCGAGATACATGGGAGAGAGCCCCTCACCTCCTCTCTGCTTGTCTCCGAGATACATAGGAGAGAGTCCCTCACCTCCTCTCTGCTTGTCTCCGAGATACATGGGAGGGAGCCCCTCACCTCCTCTCTGCTAGTCTCCGAGGTACATGGGAGAGAGCCCCTCACCTCCTCTCTGCTTGTCTCCGATACAGTTGAGAGAGCCCCTCACCTCCTATTTGCTTGTCTCTGAGATACATGGGAGAGAGTCCCTCACCTCCTCTCTGCTTGTCTCTGAGATACATGGGAGACAGTCCCTCACCTCCTTTCTGCTTGTCTCTGAGATACATGGAAGAGAGTCCCTCACCTCCCTCTCTGCTAGTCTCTGAGATACATGGGAGAGAGTCCCTCACCTCCTCTCTGCTAGTCTCTGAGATACATGGGAGAGAGCCCTCTCACCTCCTCTCTGCTAGTCTCTGAGATACATGGGAGACAGTCCCTCACCCCCTTTCTGCTTGTCTCTGAGATACATGGGAGGGAGCCCCTCACCTCCTCTCTGCTAGTCTCCGAGATACATGGGAGGGAGCCCCTCACCCCCTTTCTGCTTGTTTTCGAGATACATGGGAGGGAGCCCCTCACCTCCTCTCTGCTAGTCTCCGAGATACATGGGATAGAGTTTCTCACCCCCTTTCTGCTTGTTTTTGAGATACATGGGAGAGAGCCCCTCACCTCCTCTCTGCTAGTCTCCGAGATACATGGGATAGAGTCCCTCACCTCCTCTCTGATAGTCTCCGAGATACATGGGATAGAGTCCCTCACCTCCTCTCTGCTAGTCTCCGAGATACATGGGAGAAAGCCCCTCACCTCCTCTCTGCTTGTTTTCGAGATACATGGGAGAGAGTCCCTCACCTCCTCTCTGCTAGTCTCCGAGATACATGTAATAGAGTCCCTCACCTCCTCTCTGCTAGTCTCCGAGATACATGGGAGAGAGCCCTTCACCTTCTCTCTGCTAGTCTCCGAGATACATGGGAGGGAGCCCCTCACCTCCTCTCTGCTAGTCTCCGAGATACATGGGAGGGAGTCCCTCACCTCCTCTCTGCTAGTCTCCGAGATACATGGGAGGGAGCCCCTCACCTCCTCTCTGCTAGTCTCCGAGATACATGGGAGAGAGCCCCTCACCTCCTTTCTTCTTGTCTCCGAGATACATGGGAGAGAGCCCCTCACCTCCTCTCTGCTAGTCTCCGAGATACATGGGAGAGAGTCCCTCACCTCCTTTCTTCTTGTCTCCGAGATGGGAAATGATGCCAAATGTCTTCAGTGGAGACACAAAGTAAAGCTGGGGTGGGTTCGATGTTGAGAGTTGGGTGGTGTTGTAGGTGGTTAGGATCATCTTTGGGGAGATTTACTGAAACTGGAGCACTCAGAATCTGGTGCAGCTGTGCATGGCAGCCAATCAGCTTCTAACTTCAGCTTGTTCAATGAAGTTTTGGCAATAAAACTTGAAATCTGATTGGTTTCTATGCAGAGCCGCACCAGACCTTGCTCTCTCCACTTCTAGTAATTCCCCCCCTTGTGTTTAAATGTGAACAGGAAGTGAGGAGAAATTGCCCCCGGCGTAGACACAGCCAGCAGTCACCACACATGACACAGGTTCCAGGCCTTCCTAATTTCTTCCACAGCTGCAAAGTTTTCGGTGAGACAAATCACTTTTTGACTTTTTCCATCCATGATGTCATTGCCAAGTAATCAGCAGCTTTGTCTCAGTTCCCCGATCTGCCGCATAGTAGCTCCTTGGAATCGGATCATCATTAGGCCCCCCATCCGTGCCCGGCTGAAAATGATTCGATGTGAGCGATCCCACAGCCAAATTATAGTCACGTCGTACCATTCATCTGCACACTCTTAGACAGGCGGAAGCATCTGATGTGACCTAATTAGTGAACTATAGTATGTGGGGATTTTTGTTTTGGGTGACAGGTTCACTTTAAGAGCTGCACTGATTGACCAACAAATCGCCGATTTTGTTACACCAAACAAATTTGTGATGCTGCAGGTCTGTGGCCCCCGAGTCGCCTCTCATACACCCCCCCCCCCCCATCCTCCTTTGACTAATGCTAACATGATAAAAATAGTCTTTTTATTAGACTCAGGAGGTCTGATCCGGGCCGGAGCATCGCCTCCAACACTCGCAGCATGCTCTGCTCCCAGCAGCTGTCTGATCCCACCACTTTTCCTGCAGCTTTTCTGCTTCATTATTGCGATTGGCGCTCCATGGGCAGCAGAAAACATGGCCTGTCTCATCACATCATGTCACCCTCCGCCGCCCGCTCTCCACTCTCTGCTCTGTCTTCTCCTCACAATAGCTGTAGATTTTCCAGGACAGAGGGAATGGAATGGGAAGATGAGATGGATGTAGGTTATGGTGTTGGGAACATAGAAATGACAGTTCAAGGGATCGGGGAGAAGTGACGGTTCCGGGGAGAAGTGACGGTTCAGGGATTTTGGAGAATTGAAGGTTCCGGGATTGGAGAGAAGTGACGGTTCTGGGATTTTTGGAGAATTGACGGTTCTGGGGGATTGGGGAGAAGTGACAGTTTTGGGATTCGGGAGAATTCACAGTTCTGGGATTGGGGGAGAATTCACAGTTCCGGGATCGGGGAGAAGTGACGGTTCCGTGATCGGGGAGAAGTGACGGTTCCGTGATCGGGGAGAAGTGACGGTTCCGTGATCGGGGAGAAGTGACGGTTCCGTGATCGGGGAGAAGTGACGGTTCCGTGATCGGGGGAGAAGTGACGGTTCCGGGATCGGGGGGAGACGTGACAGTTCTGGGATCGGGGAGACGTGACGGTTCTGGGATCGGGGAGAAGTGACGGTTCCGTCTCGGGGAGAAGTGACGGTTCCGTGATTGGGGAGAAGTGACGGTTCTGGGATTGGGGAGAAGTGACGGTTCCATGATCGGGGAGAAGTGGCGGTTCAGGGATGGGGGAGAAGTGGCGGTTCAGGGATGGGGGAGAAGTGGCGGTTCAGGGATGGGGGAGAAGTGGCGGTTCAGGGATGGAGGAGAAGTGACAATTCAGGGATGGAGGAGAAGTGGCGGTTCAGGGATGGAGGAGAAGTGACAATTCAGGGATGGAGGAGAAGTGACAGTTCATGGAGAAGGGGGGAGAAGAGACAATCTGCTTTGGAAGCATAAAGTCACTTATAAAAGTCCCCCCACCTATACCCATCAGGAGGGATATCTTCCCTTCTGAGAAGTGGAATAAAGCCCCTCACAGTTCCTAGGGGGTCTCAGGATACTTTTAGAGACCCTGCTTGTCACATATTTTTTATACTTCATTGTATGTTGTAGGCAGGTGCAGTTTACGTTTTCCTCAGCAGATGGCGCCTGTCTGCAGCAGTATTGCAGCTGAAGAGGAAGTCCAGAGGAGCGGTTTCTTCTATGGTTTACCTGGTTACTGGGGAAACTATCCGATTGGATGCTACCACCCCATGTGACTCTGGCAGCCATTTTGGGTCAGTCAGTGCATATTTAAGGCTCTGTCTCTCTGAGATTGGCACACATTTGTGAGTGGGTAGAGTCTGTTACCCTGCCTGGTAGGGACAGAATTAGCAGCAGGGAATCGTTCTTGATGAGGAGGGAAATCGCATTGGCTTGCAACTTTTCTGAACATCCTCCCGCTTGGGTATGAGACGGCCAAGCCGCACTCCGCCCTTCTTCACAGGCACTGTCAGTCTGGCTGTAACCCACACTTTACATGCTATTGGGACCCGTGAGTGCTCCGGGTTGGACTGTCTTCCCACCATGTTTGTTGTGAACTGTTTACATTGCTCCAACACAAGTTCTTCATATTGCACTTGGACTGTGTATTATTACCACTGCACCAATCTGAACCCCACCTACATGTTCCTTTCCTACCAGACGAACACTTGGGGGTTCAATGTACTGACGCTTGGGGGTCCCAGAACAATGACACCCTGACACTTGGGGGTCCCAGAACAGTGACACCCTGACGCTTGGGGGTCCCAGAACAGTGACACCCTGACGCTTGGGGATCCCAGAACAATGACACCCTGACGCTTGGGGGTCCCAGAACAATAACACCCTGACGCTTGGGGATCCAGAACAATGACACCCTGACACTTGGGAGTCCAGAACAATTACATCCTGACACTTGGGGGTCCCAGAACAGTGACACCCTGACGCTTGGGGATCCAGAACAATGACCCCTGACACTTGGGGGTCCCAGAACAGTGACACCCTGACGCTTGGGGATCCCAGAACAATGACACCCTGACACTTGGGGATCCAGAACAATGACACCCTGACACTTGGGGATCCAGAACAATGACACCCTGACACTTGGGAGTCCAGAACAATTACATCCTGACACTTGGGGGTCCCAGAACAATGACACCCTGACACTTGGGGGTCCCAGAACAATGACACCCTGACACTTGGGGGTCCCAGAACAATGACACCCTGACACTTGGGGGTCCCAGAACAATGACACCCTGACACTTGGGGGTCCCCGTACAATGACATCCTGGCACTTGGGGGTCCCAGAACAATAACACCCTGACACTTGGGGATCCAGAACAATGACACCCTGACACTTGGGGATCCCAGAACAATGACACCCTGACACTTGGGAGTCCAGAACAATTACATCCTGACACTTGGGGGTCCCAGAACAATGACACACTGACACTTGGGGGTCCCAGAACAATGACACCCTGACGCTTGGGGGTCCCAGAACAATAACACCCTGACACTTGGGGGTCCCCGTACAATGACATCCTGGCACTTGGGGGTCCCAGAACAATAACACCCTGACACTTGGGGATCCAGAACAATGACACCCTGACACTTGGGGGTCCCAGAACAATAACACCCTGACACTTGGGGGTCCCAGAACAATAACACCCTGACACTTGGGGGTCCCGTACAATGACACCCTGACACTTGGGGGTCCCAGAACAATAACACTCTGGCACTTGGGGATCCAGAACAATGACACACTGACACTTGGGGATCCAGAACAATGACACCCTGACACTTGGGGATCCAGAACAATGACACCCTGACACTTGGGGGCCCCAGAACAATGACACCCTGACACTTGGGGGTCCAGAACAATGACACCCTGACACTTGGGGGTCCCAGAACAATGACACCCTGACACTTGGGGGTCCAGAACAATGACACCCTGACACTTGGGGGTCCCAGAATAATGACACCCTGACACTTGGGGGTGCCAGAATAATGACACCCTGACACTTGGGGATCCAGAACACTGACACTTGGGGGCCCCAGAACAATGACACCCTGACACTTGGGGGCCCCAGAACAATGACACCCTGACACTTGGAGGTCCAGAACAATGACACCCTGACACTTGGGGGTCCAGAACACACATTTTGTTAGTCCCCTGTGTGCATTGTTGATGTTTCAGAGGGTGACACTGTGTTAGTCGGTGGGGTGCAGAGAAGGGAGTGGGTGAGGTGGCTCTGGGTGGTCAATGAGGTCCTCTCCACTCTCCCTGCATTGCCATCAGCACATAGTTCATGTTCATTAGCAGAATATCACCTTACCCCCCCCCCCCCTCCCCCGCCAGGCTCCCCCATATCAGGAACACCAGCTGCTGAATCTGGGGAATGCTGCTATCCATAGGATTTCCAGACCCCCAGATTAACCCTCATGGAGCCAGGATAACCACATACATAGCACCGGGTGTGGGGGGATTAGTACCGGCCGGGTGTGGGGGGATTAGTACCGGCCGGGTGTGTGGGGGGATTAGTACCGGCCGGGGGTGGGGGGATTAGTACCGGCCGGGTGTGGGGGGATTAGTACCGGCCGGGTGTGGGGGGATTAGTACCGGCCGGGGGGGGGGGGGATTAGTACCGGCCGGGGGTGGGGGGATTAGTACCGGCCGGCTAGGGATTCCTCTCTGATTACAGAGCCTATAGCCAGACATACCAACTAATGTCACACTCATTACAGGACGATGTCCGGACGTTGTCACTGCCAACCTGAACCCACCACGTCTGCACCAACCATCCCCGACACCCTGCAAGAGTGACACCTTCCACAGACTGCAACCTTTATCATTACAGCCCGCCTTCAGCTACAGAGAGTGACTGTGCCTAGGCTGAGATGATGTCATCAGTCTGCTACAGGCAAGAGGAGGCATTTCCTCAGTCTCCCCTCCACCAGTGATCAGGCTGTACATTGTAACTTTGTAGAAGGAGGAGTCATTTCCTCAGTCTCCCCTCCCCCCAGTGATCAGACTGTACATTGTAACTTTGTAGAAGGAGGAGTCATTTCCTCAGTCTCCTCTCCCCCCAGTGATCAGACTGTACATTGTAACTTTGTAGAAGGGGAAGAGTCATTTCCTCAGTCTCCCCTCCCCCAGTGAGCAGACTGTACATTGTAACTTTGTAGAAGGGAGGAGGAGTCATTTCCTCAGTCTCCCCTCCCCCAGTGAGCAAACTGTACATTGTAACTTTGTAGAAGGGGAGGAGTCATTTCCTCAGTCTCCCCTCCCCCAGTGATCAGACTGTACATTGTAACTTTGTAGAAGGAGGTGGAGTCATTTCCTCAGTCTCCCCTCCCCCAGTAATCAGACTGTACACTGTAACTTTGTAGAAGGGGAGGAGTCATTTCCTCAGTCTCCCCTCCCCCAGTGATCAGACTGTACATTGTAACTTTGTAGCCAGTCACAATATTTTCCTTTCCTGGATATTTCCGGAATGTTTCAGTCAGTGTGTGAGTATGCAGTGTGATATTCGTAGACCATCAATGGGGGTAAAATTCCCCAACGCCCAATCTTTATTTGTAGGTTTGTAGGGGTTCCTCCCACTGTGACGATCATCTTCCTCATTCCTCTCTCAAGTGGTAGTCAGACAGCATGCCGCTTCCATCGGAGGCTTTTCACACAGGTTTTCTTCCAATGATCACTTTGTGACTGGTCCTGGTCAGTCCCTGTGAGAGTCGGGCCCCGGGCTCACCCATAGTCAGGGGCCCTGGGCTGGGAGTGGTGAAGCATGTTGGGAGCTCCACATCACAGTGTATTTATACAACGGAGGACATGGCGGGGCCGATTCTATATTTGTCTTCCCCCCCCCCCCCCCCTAGAATCACCTGCCGCTCCTTCTGTGGCCCCCTCAGGGTGGGGCCGCCTCCTTCTACGTAGCCGTCGGTTGGAGCTTCGCACGCTGGGCGCTGCCGCCCTCCTGTCTCTGTCAATCACATGACCCGGCCCGGCAATGACTGAGACAGCTGGACGTTTACGACCCAGAGCACCCCGAACGTGCTGCAAACCTCAACTCGTATTCCGCCTCTTCAATGGAGCCATTTACTGCTGATGGCTATAAATATCCCGGGCGGCTTGTGCCCTGGTGGGGGGGCATCTTACAGGATGGACTCGAAGGGTCCGCAGGATTCGGGATGGACGGGGACCCTCCACAACAAAGATCACCCACATTCCAGATCTGTTCAGTCACCCAGGGTGAGACTTCCTGGAATAAAGACCGCTCACTGCTGCTCTGTCTGCTTGTGCAGGGGGACTGGTCTTGTCTCCGCCCCCTCTTGGTGGTTTAGGTAGTGGGCAGAGCCTGCTTGGTCCCTCCCACAGCTTTGCACTCTGCTTGTGCAGGGGGACTGGTCTTGTCTCCGCCCCCTCTTGGTGGTTTAGAAAGTGGGCAGAGCCTGTTTGGTCCCTCCCACAGCTCTGCACTCTGTGCAGGGGGACTGGTCTTGTCTCCGCCCCCTCCTGTAGTTTTCTGTAGTGGGTGGAGCCTGCTTGGTCCCTCCCACAACTTTGCACTCTGCTTGTGCAGGGGGATTGGTCTTGTCTCTGCCCCCTCTTGTAGGTTTCTGTAGTGGGTGGAGCCTGCTTGGTCCCTCCCACAGCTTTGCACTCTGCTTGTGCAGGGGGATTGGTCTTGTCTCCACCCCCCTCTTGTAGGTTTCTGTAGTGGGTGGAGCCTGCTTGGTCCCTCCCACAGCTCTGCACTCTGCTTGTGCAGGGGGACTGGTCTTGTCTCCACCCCCTCCTGTAGTTTTCTGTAGTGGGTGGAGCCTGCTTGGTCCCTCCCACAACTTTGTACTCTGCTTGTGCAGGGGGACTGGTCTTGTCTCCACCCCCTCCTGTAGTTTTCTGTAGTGGGTGGAGCCTGCTTGGTCCCTCCCACAACTTTGTACTCTGCTTGTGCAGGGGGACTGGTCTTGTCTCTGCCCCCAATCTGTATGTTTTTGTAGTGGGCGGAGCCTGCTGGTCCCTCCCCAGCTCTCTCTGCACAGGTTATGTATGGCACATTGATGATGTCACGGCTACTTTTACAAGGTAATACCTGGGTCTGCAATCGTGTTTATTGCTCACAAAGTAGATTTGTATCCTATTTGCCTATTGAGAAGTATAAATATACATTTCTATATATGAAGGTTTTTGTTCCTGGAGTTCAGCTTTCAAATCCAGTTTTTGTAACCCTTTTATCACCTTTTTTTTCCATCTCAGTGCTGATCTCCTGCAGCCTCTTTCAAGCACTTCCTGTCTACATGCACTCACTCCACCGCCGGCTGCACATCATTGGTGTGTATGTGTGGCACAGCGATGAAGTCACGGCTACATTTTACAAGGTAATATCTGGGTTTACCAAGGCACTTGGTGCACAAGAAGTGGATTGTATCCTTTGTGGCCGCTGAGGAATATGTTTTGCTGGAATTTGCAGGGAGCTTTCATTTGTGGTGAACATTCCCCAGCCGCACAGATCCCAGCCGCGCCTGCCGGCCGCACAGATCCCAGCCGCGCCTGCCGGCCTCACAGATCCCAATCCCGCCGCGCCTGCCGGCCGCACAGATCCCAGCCGCGCCTGCCGGCCGCACAGATCCCAGCCGCGCCTGCCGGCCGCACAGATCAGATCCCAGCCGCGCCTGCCGGCCGCACAGATCCCAGCCGCGCCTGCCGGCCGCACAGATCCCAGCCGCGCCTGCCGGCCGCACAGATCCCAGCCGCGCCTGCCGGCCGCACAGATCCCAGCCGCGCCTGCCGGCCGCACAGATCCCAGCCGCCGCCTGCCGGCCGCACAGATCCCAGCCCCGCCTGCCGGCCGCACAGATCCCAGCCGCGCCTGCCGGCCGCACAGATCCCAGCCCGCGCCTGCCGGCCGCACAGATCCCAGCCGCGCCTGCCGGCCGCACAGATCCCAGCCGCGCCTGCCGGCCGCACAGATCCCAGCCCCGCCTGCCGGCCGCACAGATCCCAGCCCCGCCTGCCGGCCGCACAGATCCCAGCCGCCGCCGCCTGCCGGCCGCACAGATCCCAGCCCCGCCTGCCGGCCGCACAGATCCCAGCCCCGCCTGCCGGCCGCACAGATCCCAGCCCCGCCTGCCGGCCGCACAGGTCCCCCCCGCCAGATCCCAGCCCGCCTGCCGGCCCGCCGGCCGCACAGATCCCAGCCCCGCCTGCCGGCCGCACAGATCCCAGCCCCGCCTGCCGGCCGCACAGATCCCAGCCGCGCCTGCCGGCCGCACAGATCCCAGGCGTGGGAGGAAAGCCTTGAATTTCCATGTAATCGATCCGCTGAGACGACTCTGATATGGATCCGGATACAGATCCCTCCCAGAGACGCATGTAGTGGAGGCCGCTATCACAATGTATGTGGGGATTGGATCTGCGGATTTGGCGATCAGATTATTGATCAGAATGATTGGTAACGCTCCCATGTATTGACGTGACAGGAGGGGGATGGGAAGTGCCCAGCTGTTACTGATGCTGCAAAAACCACAAAAATGACCGACTAATAAAATCAAAAATTGCTTCTTTATTGCCGACCCAACCGGCCAGACAGGTCCTGATCCCCGACCAATGTACCCCCATACACTGACAGATCGTCCCCCAATACTTCTGGAATCTTCTACGACTGACGGCCTAGTACAGTGTTCATGAATGAAGGGAATGTGGACACGACCGACACCGTTGGGGCTCATTCAGTACCACAGTACCACAGAAAATGATCGTTCTCCGTGGGTCATGTTCACCCCAGAACGCTGCGTTTGTCTGCCTTCCATGGTAGTGGATTTGATGCAACGTGATTGGATAATATCCCGCAGAAACGTGTGTAAACGCTTTAAAACTGGGTGGAGGATTACAACTTTTTTTTTAATGGTTGAACTGGATGGACTTTTGTCTTTTTCAGCCAGACTGAGTATATAACCATGTAACTGTGTAACCAAGTAACCGTACCCATGTAACCAAGTAACCATGTAACCAAGTGTAACCATGTAACCATGTAACCATGTAACCAAGTAACCAAGCAACCAAGTAACCAAGCAACCAAGTAACCATGTAACCAAGTA